ACACATACTCGTCGAGACATTTTAGTTGAACAGACTCGAAAGCATTACAAAAGCAAAAAAAATGATGTATACTTCTTTTACTGACTTGCTTCATCGAGACCAGGTTGCAAGAAAAATGATTGCTGATAGTATGGCAGTGATGAGATAAGAGTCACAGGCATGTCTTTTCGAAAACATTATGACTTGTGTCAGAATAATATAGTCTTCTGCAAAGAAGTAATCAAGATAATTAAAATAACATTTCAAATTATAAGACGAGCCCATTATTGGGTTTATTTTGAACTTTGACGTATTAATCGAGAGTGTTAGTTACAGTAGAGAGTCACTCGGCAAAGTCGATTTCCGAGAGTTATATATGTTAAACAGCAGATATCAATTTCATTAATGAAAACATATCTATCACGTGTGGTGTAAATTGAGGATCTATTTAAACTCATTTTTATTTTTATTAGTTATATAGTGTTGTATGTTATCTGTATAGTACAGGCCATCCACTTATAGAATATCTTTATGATCTAATAAAACCCAAAGTTTACAGCCATTATGGTGTAAAAGAGCTACTAATCAATAATGCAATCCGTTTTGCCGGATTTTCCTGAGGTTTTACTTTGGTACAAGGTAGAGCATGTTATAATCTATCTTCAGTGGATGTACAAACTGTGCACTTCAACTTTTTTTGAAACATAGTGCTTCAAATGTGTACTTCTGTGAAGATTTGTTGACAATATTTATGAACCGATTACTTTTGTTTCTTGTACGTCATATTTGGAATAGATAAATAAATATCAAAATAGCTGCTTTTTTAAAGTTCTATAATGACTACTTCATTCTCAATTTGATTCTTACAACTCCTACTCAGGAATTAATCGTTCACAAACAATTATAGGTAGTCTGTATTAGGGGTACGACAGTTCGAAAAAAGTTCCGAGCTGATGAACTGTTCGACAAACACAGCTGAGCTGAACTGAACTGTTCGAACAGTTCTCCTGAACTGAAAAGGTCGGACTCTGTGGGATAGCCAAAAGTCCTACTATTCGGGGGTACATTTGGGTCATCAAGTCTTACTATTGGGGAGGGGTCCCCAAAGGTCCTCATCAAGGAATCAGGTGTACCGGTCAATAGTTTGACTTGAGGAGCTCACGATGCCCCTGAATAGTAAGACTTCAGGGCCCAAGGGTTCCTGCAGCAGTAGCCCATGTTGAGCCAAGGGTATCCCCACTACTAGCAATTGAACCTGAGGGCCTAAGGGTTCTGCGCAGCACTTGCAAGGGTTGGGCCAACGATTCCGCGCAACACTTGCAGTTGTTGGACCAAGGGTATTTCCCTACACTTGCATTTTAAGGCCGAGAGGTTTCCCCAATAGTAGGACTTGAGGACTCTTGGGTACCCACCAATAGTAAAACTTCAGGATCCTGGAGTACGTGGTTGATGACGGCGGACGGATGGCTCACCGTTTTCCCCGTTCCCTGGTAGCTGGTAACGGGCCGTTACGGTTCCCAGGTAACTGATAACTTTTTCGTTACCGTTACCGTCACCGGGTAACGGTCTAGGAACGGTAACTTCCCACCCCTAGCCGGAGAACCCAAGGGAACTTCCTATAGTAGGATTTGGGAATCCAACAGTGCCTTCATAGAATAGTCGTTGAGAACCACCGGATACTTCTATCGAATAGCTCATGAAGACCTGTAGATACTTCTATAGAATAGCTCTTGAAGACCTGTGAATACTCGTATAGGATAGCTCTTGGGGACCTATGAGCACCGTTGTAGAATAGTAGCTAGTTTAATTTTAAGTTCAGTTCATTCGAAAAGAACTGTTTGGAAAGTTCAGTTCGTTCAAAAGAACTGTTCGAGTAGCTCTTTAGCTCATTTGAGCGGAGTTCGTGAACTGAGCTGGTCGACCCCTAGTCTGCATTGTAAACTGCAAAGTGATGATTTTCGTATTTTTATAATTTTTCCGTTCATAAAAGTAGTATATCGAGTTGTACAATCTTTCAAGCTCTAGTTCGAGACAAATAATGTTAGAGGAGGTCAGTCATGTTTATACTGAGCGCTAATAAGCATTACAATGCATCATGTGAACATCGTAGAATACAAAGAAGATTTAGTAGAATATACCAAAAAGATATTTTTGGAACTCACGATATATTAAGCATTGTCCAGGAGTATGGCTGTCAATTTAGGTTTTCTGTGCTAAAATTTATACTATCAATGAATTCACATATATGCTACAAATAGACATGCATTACACATAAATCTCTGAATATGATGAATTTTCTTTAATGTATTTTGACTTGGCTTTGCAAACTATTTGCTATTTTCATCTGTATCTTTCTAAAGTACCATTTCATGTCTAAGAGAAATAAATCTTCTCTATAAGTGCCCTTATCTAACGAAAACTATTTATTGAGTTTGAATGCTCTAGTTGATTCATTTCAATCATATTTTCGAAACATTTTAGAATATTGTGTCTGTTTTAGTTTATCTTTCATATATACGAAATTCTATTACTCGTATATGTATCACTTGATCATCAAGTTTTCTATAATTTGTCATCAGAACAGTTGTTTCACGTAAAAAAATATCTTTCAAGATTTTAAGATTGTATAGTGACATAATTAATATTTTAGCATGAAAAGTGAATAAAACTCCAAGACGAAGTACTCCTTTTTATCGGTAATACTTTTTGTCTAAAGGAACATAGAAGTCGAATACAATCTATTGTTCATAACCTTAATCGAAGCCTTAGAGAATAAATAGAACAAATCAAAATTATATAATACATTGCTAATAAACTATATCAACCTTATGAAAAAAAATGTGACCTTATTATTATTAAAAATGTCATAATGGAATAACCACTTTTTATTCGTTTGATAAATAGATTTTTAAAGATGGAAGCTTCATTTTCCAGAAATCTTTCGAATAAAACCGGCTAGCTAAGCATAGTTAATCAATAGTAAGTGCCAACTATATGTGAAGAAAACATGAGTATGATACCTGCAATAATTGAAAGAATTGCTTTTAACCTCGTTTTTGTTTGTACTGTGTGATATATGTATGAATTTGTTCTCCATTCACATCCTTGATCGCCTCAGATTGGTATAAAATCGCATGAATAAGGTTGATCAGTGACTCAAAATGAAAACTGATAATGATCAAGAGCAAGTAAAGCGTAAACAATATCCGTACGAAAAGAATTTGAAAAGCTCAAAATAGTGACATGATTTTTGTTGATTTGATCTAAACTATGTCATTTCATTGTACATATTCGTGTCAAGGTTCTGACTGTTTTTAGATAGAGATGGCAGAAGATGCACTTGGCAGGTTTCCAAATTATGATAATCAGAAACCAAATCATATGATCCTCTGGCTTGATGCTAGTATCGGTGATCCGACGAAATATATACACTTGAAGAAGGCCTTTGGAAGCAATACTGATCCACGCTGTAAAACTTGGACCATGCTGAATGACAAGGATTACGACGCGGCGCTAGCTTCACATAATCCGGTAACGGTGACTTTTGGGGGCGCGCTCTTTCTTCTGCAAGCTGTTGCCAATGAGATCGATTGTCTCGAAGCTTTTGAAAAAAATCAAGACAAGCACATCTTCTTTATTACTTCTGGACGATTGGGAGAGATTATTGTGCCGCAAATTATTGAATCCTATAGACATATTTTTACCGATCGAATCACTAATGAACCATACCACTCCATATATGTTTTTTGTCACAACGTCGAGTTGAATGTATCTTGGGCGGAGAATTATACGGAATACGTTCACATATTTGACTTCGATGCAGACTTATTGGAACGTATGACGTCTGATATATCTAAATATTTCATTGAGCGAAGTAAACGACTTCGTCAGGATAATGATTTGGAAAGTGCATGGCAACATTTACATTGGGCAAAGAGACTCTGGTATCAGCATGAGAAAATCAAAGTAAAAAAACCTACAGATGAGTTTCGTGTCGTGCAGGAAAGCGAAAACATGAAAGAGATCAATGAACTAATTGAAGAAGTCGAACTAATGTTACCTCAAAAGTTTCATACGACACGCCGAGACAGTAGTAATGATGAATGCTATGGAGTGGAAGATGAAAGACTAAGTGAACAGAGCAGTTGAACTCTGACTCTTCATCTATCTGATCAAAACTAAGACCCCAGTGTTCTTATTGTTGCATGTTAATCGTATTTATGTAGATGCCTCTTGAAGTTTTCCAACTCGATTTCACGATCGACAAAAATATAGAAGTCTCTCACACAATCTTTCTCTTTCTTTTTCTTGTGTGTATAATTCATGTCATCAAATTGAAAGATCCTATACCGTGCATCGATGCTATTGACATTTATCATGGTTTGATCTCACCATTTAAATAAATGAATGTTCCATTTAATTTAGCTTTGAGATAACGAATCAACAAGTAATTCCAGGTATATTGTTCAGAACATAGATCCTCGACGAAAATTGGCACTATATTTATGCAAAATTGCATCATTTGACAATGAATAACATACACTGTACCGAGAATATACTTTTGTATTTTGTATCCATGGATGTATCCTAGTTCTCCTTCTTCTCTGTTTTCTTGGATATTTTTTCGACATAAATCAACGAGTCAAGTTTTATCCAGACAGAAATACTTTACACAAAAGACAATTAAGATTCATTATGAGTAAAATGCTTCATACTTGTTCATTGAATCTTTCTCTACTGCATTTATATTTTTGAATGACTTTGAAAGGCAGCATTGTCAAACTCTTCTACTATCCAATCTAATTATCGAACAGATGAAAAATTGAAAAAAGGTTGCACGTAATTGTGTGTAATGATTAAAATTAATGTTCCTTTTTCAATTCGATTTTGTCGTTAAGTGTTTTACAACTATTTAATTAGTACTGGTTCGGCTTTTATCAATGCAAAACTGCACAATCGATCAGAAATAACATTCTAGAGAAGAATGTGGGTGCGGATGTTCCTATGAATTGGGAGAAGCTCTACACCCACATCCTCCTTAAATCTGATCTATAAAATTGATGATTAACCTTGTCATTTTCACTACAGGTACAATCACTTTCAATTTTTAATAATTGAAAGAGCGAGTGACATTTTTGTTCACCTTCGATTGCTAAATCTCGATTACTAGAAACAATATTAACAGCATTTCCACATAAAACGAAAAATACAGCAGTTACTTCTACAATAAAAGTTTTTCTGTTATCGGTACGAACTTGTTCAAGAAGTCGTTTATCATAACTATGAACAAAAAGTAATAAAGCAACTACTTGAGTATCTTGTGAAAATTGCGGTTTATTAGAAACTGACCAAACTTGAAGTGTTAATGGAATCATTCGATCTAAATGAGGACGTACAGACTCTTCAGGATTATCTTGAATTTCTCGACAAATTTTTAATTTTTCATCTCCTTCTAATACACCTTTTTTCAAGACTTCTTTACATTTTTGTGTTTATCTATTATTTGATCAATTATTTCTCTTGCTGAAAGATGCGACTTTTTTTTCGCGAATCGAGGTAAACTTAGTTTTTCTATTGCTTTAGGCTGATCTAGATAATCAAATTTCAAAACAACTTTATAGCTTTGTTCAAAAGAAATCTTTTGATAATGAAAAACTTCCACTAGTATGGTTAATTGCTTAATGCATTTAATTGTTGTTTTAGCTATTCTATCCGAGATACTCTGAAAAAGATCTAAAAACTTCTTATTATTTTCAATTATCTAATTGTATTCTTATTCGATTTAAAAATAATGAAGTCTTTTCAACATTATCTTCACTAAGTTTAATACCAGATTTATTCATTTCTCTATTAAAAGTTTGAGAAAATTCAATTTTATGTAAGATTGTATCCCAAACTGCTAATGAAACATTGGATAATTGATCCACAAGTTGTTTAGTTCCACTTGTTTTTCTCATTGATTCAATGACACAAAAAAAGCTTTTCTTTAATCATTTTTTGACAAATAGGTAAAAGATTGTTAGTTTTTAAATAAATCGCTTGATTGATTTGATCAATATATTGACTCGCAAACATATTATTAGCTTTCAATAATATGTTTTTTGAATAATATTTTTAACTAATCATGTTGAGGTGAGGATGATAAAAATTTGATTGCTGAACGAATGTGTTCAGAACAAGATAAACATTACTGTATTCTAATAAAAATATCTTTGTTTACAAAGAGACCTTCGTCTATTTCTAATCTGTTATTGATTCTAACAATTAAACAAAAAAAAAATAAAAATTTTATATGTACTTTTTTTCGAAGGAATAATCATTTTCTACATCGTTTAAATATCAATTTAATTCTTTGAAATCACTTTCAATTTTATTTTTGATATCAAAATTACCTTTTGCTTTCTTTATTTAATACTGATTCGTATACATTTCTTTAGTTTAGCTTCTTATAATATAGAAATTCTTTTCAAAATAATCTTTTGGATCTCACTGGTTTCATTTATATCAATTTTGCTTTGATCTTTTTTCAATAAGATTAAATAATTGATCATGATTAGACCTGTGACAGTTCCCGATCTAAGAACTGAACTGGTGTCAGTCGCCCAGTTCTTTAGAAAAGAATTGGATATGGTGAACAGATCTTTTTAACAGAACTGATTGTGGTAATCAGTTCTTTTTTGACAACTGGAGCAAGTACTGACAAGAGAATATGTCCAGGTGTCGGAACGCTTTTCAGTTGGGGTTTCGCGTATCTTGTAGCCCTTAGTGAATAATGCCTACCATAAAAAAAGTTCAAGTTTCTGGCTTGTTCTTTGTCGAGATATGAAGCATTTAGTGAATTTTCTCTATAGCGCCCCATTTTTGCAGCAAAACGACATTTTTTAATTTTGATCTGAAACTTTGCCTACGAAAAGGCCTCAGCTAGGCCAGCTTGCATAGAAAAATTCAGAACTCTTGGACAAAGTCTCTTCGAAACATGGAACTAAAGGTACAGATTCTTTTCAGAAATAATATATATCGTATGCATTATTTTTTGAAAGCTTCGTATCTTGGAGATACTCTATCCAAAAGCTCTGATTTTTTTTTATACAAGTTAGCGTAGTTGAGGCTTATATTTAGGCTAAGTTTCAGATCAAAATTAAAAAATGTAGCTTTGCTGCAAAAGTAGGGCACTATAGAGAAAATCTACTAAAAACTCGTTATCTCAGCAGGAACACGCCAGAAGCCTGAACTTTTTTATGCTAAACATAGTTCACTAAGGGCTACAAGATGCGCGAAACCCCAACTGAAAAGCGCTCCGACACCTGAAAATGTTTCCTTGTGAGTAAAGTCGCTAGATCACCATTATTCATAGAACAAATACAGTTGAAAAAAACCAGTCATATGTCTAGTTTCGATTTCGTTGCAAAAAATGGTTTCGTATGGTACCTTATTTTTTTCAGAGTGTGGGATGTCGGTGTGGATCTTCCATTCAACTAAATCCACACTCATACCTTAATCGATTTTTGTAGAAAACTCTTTTCTACATCACTTTACTTTTACCCAACTTTAAGTGACGAATTGAAATTGAGAAAAACTTCAAAGCACCATGAAAATGTATAGAAACCTATTTTCTAAGCTTTTGTGACCTAGCTCCAAAAGAATGTGGGTGAAACAAATATTTCTCTATTCGCCAGCCTCATCCGTGCTGAACTGTGTATGTTTTGTGAGTATTGATTTCGGATATGATTGCATGAGCATATGAAGATTTTATTTTTATTCCAAAGAATCTTTTGAAAGGTTAACATTTTATATCGACATTGTGCGCATTAACATACTCGATTTTGGAATGACGCCTAACTCTGGATAATAAAGTTGCAATATGGCTAGAGCAACTTCATACACGTTTGGAGAACTCAGATTAATAAAAAGTGTGATCATGAGTTTCTTTTCTGGAACACGAATAATTATCGCTTGAAAACCTTGCCATCGGCCACCATGCTCCATAATACGCATTCCATTTCTTCCTTCCCATAGACGCCAACCAAATCCATATGGATATGTGATCCCATTGTTCAATTTCACTGGAGTCCACATAGCATCAAAACTCGTCTCATTTTTCAGCAGTTCATTGCTATATAGTCCTGCATCCCATTTTATCATATCATAAACAGTCAAATATAATGCTCCATCAGCCAATGTGTTCAATGTTGGTGATACCCATGGTTGATTTTTAAGTTCACCATCGACGAGAACATAGCCGGAAGCACGATTTAAAATAATATCAGCTTCACTGATCACTTGTGCTGTTGTCATTCCAAGTGGAGTAAAAATATTCTCTTTGAGAAAATCACCATAAAATTGATTTGTGACACGACGTATTAAAACTCCCAACATCACATATCCAATATTGCTATAAGCCCATTGTTCACCTGGCTGAAATGTTAGTGGAATTTTTTGAATTATTTCATAAAGTTCATCTTCTGTATAATCGGTACGAAAATTAAAATTATCTGGATAGTTGGTCATTCCCGAAGTATGTGTTAACAGATGTCGAACAGTGATATTATTCCATTGGATAGGTGTATCCTTGAAATAGTTGTTTATTTTAAAATCTAAACCTAATTTTCCTCTTTCAACAAGAATCATAATGGCCATTGCAGTAAATTGTTTGCCTACAGAACCCGATTGAAAAACTGTTTCAAGTTTGACTGGCACTTGATGTTCGACATTCGAATAACCATAACCTCGTGCATGAACTATTTGTCCATCTCGAATAATACCAAGAGAGATACCAGGAATTTGGAATTTTTCCATAGTCAACTCGATATTTTCATCAATCTCAGTAATGGCAGCAATTCTCGAAGCTAAAGTAGAAAAAATAATAATAATTCATTGATTTCATAACGTAGATCAATTCTAAAGTAGTTTTATCCTTTTTAACGTTGAAAATTGCTCGTAAAGTATATTAGAATTGTTGTATAATAAAAGAATCTTACTAATAACATCATTCGATAAGAAATCTCGATCGATCAATACTTTGCCAAGAACGACATATAATAAGTGGATGACATAAATCGACAAGCTAAAAACTCGATTCGATTGAATATATCAGTCATATTTATAAAAGCACATTCAATACTTACCAAAGTATTCTATTCATCTAAGCAAAAGGTTATAGCTATTAAAATGCTAGATCAAATCTCTTTCTATTTAATGGCATCTTAAATTCTATTAGCAAATATCAAACAGCTTATTTTTCAGTCAAAGTATCGTCGATATTTGCAAAGAGACATCAAATCCAACGAATAGAATTTATTCAATGATGTTCTTCGAACATGAGAGTATTTTATTTGATTTTGAAATGTCAACCGAAAGAATATGGTGATCTTGTAGTGCTTTATTCAATGAGTCATATCGTTTGTATCTCTTGACTATTTATTGATTAAGTCTACTCTTTTAGCTGTATATAGTTCCTGTAGAAACCAAATCTTCTGCCATTCGATAGTGAGGGTGTGGATGTGGATGCTCTTTAGTTTATACATTCACACCGAAAAAAATGATTATATTCGTATTTATATGTCAGAAGTATTCTTTTTTTGAAATTAACAATGATCACGGAAAGATGCATCTGTATATTATTAGCTATAATCATGATAGAAAAATTCTTCGTCTTCGAATCGGTCATTCCAAAATCTGTCCGATTGTCGCAATGATTTAGTGTCCAAACTGTACCATCTTGTTTTTCTGAATGCGTCGTGATCAAGCCATATTGTAAGGTATGGTCCATCACAGCAAAAGAAAAATTCAAATTGTTCTCGTAGATCCAAGGCCTTACTTTTCAACTCATAGGATACAGTGCCAGAGGACCATGAAGGATCTTGATCATTCATTAGACAAGTAAGAGAACGAAGACGTGGTAATATGCGTTCTAGCCTTGAAACATAATGTAAATATTCTGTATTGATTAATAAATGCTCAAGATCAGTAAATAATGCAGCAATGTTTCTAATATCATAATCATTAAATGCATGCTTTTTCATTGAAATATCGAGCCACCGAAGAGTATGGTTAGCTTCTAACTGATGTTTTGTAATCTTACATAATTCAGAAGCGAGAATTCGAAGTGACTGTATGTTTTTAAACAATGATAACTCAGAACCTTTGTCCAACCATTCAATCTGAAGGTATTTAATTTGTAAATAATTTACATGTGTTTTGATCCAATTCAAGCAACGATCGTTCAGATGCTGTAGGACAAGATTCTCTATATGATCGAACAAAACATCTTTTGAAATATTTTCATATTCATCGGACATGCATAAGGTTTTCATAGGATTTTGAAGAGACAAACCGTTATGCACTGGTTCTATCCAATATTTATTGACAGGAAAATCAAACCCTGGCCGACCCAGACGTTGTATTCTTTCAGGGTGAACCTCTTTCCGATAAAATTTATCGAATCTCATGACGACAATCATGAAATTTTTTTTTCAATCCAAAATGAAGTTTTAAATGGATCTAGTAAATCTGGTAATACATCATTGTGGTGATATGTTGTCGTTGCATGAAGACGTAAATGAGTGAGTGCGGTCAATGATGTCGTTAATAACATTTCCCAATCATGAGCATTGAAAAGTTCATATGATGCCGTGATTCCCAAGTGACGTAAAGCAGGCATTGCTTTTAAAAAATGTGCTAATAAATTAAATTTAACAGAACATGTATTCTCAATTTGTAAAATGCATGTTTTCAGCGTAGGTATTGATGGAAGGTCTGTTTTGAGATCTATTCTTCGTTGTTGTCTAAAATGATAATCTGCAGAAGTAAGCCGAACATTGAGATGTTCGAGGTTGGGCATAGCATATAAAAGTGAAGGTAAATCGTCAAAAGCTATGACTGGATCAGAAATAGTTAAATATTCGATCTTGGAACAGATATGAAGATTGTCAGAATAATAAAATGGATCTTTTGCATCGGTAGCAAACGAAAACTTCTTCAGTGTTGACAATGCAAATAAAGAAGGTAAATTCAGTCCATATGGCATACTTTTCTGCTCTTTTAGTCCAATTACTTTTATCGCTAGAGCATCGATATTTGTTTTTGATAACGAAGTAATAGCTTTCTGAATCAAATGTTCATCACAAGCTTCCATATCAATCTGAAAATATAGCCGACGAAGTTGTGTAAATAAAGTGAATTTTGGAAAAGTAATCAAGAAAGTATAAATTTGACCGTGTGTCTTGTGTTCCGACAGAGCTAGTTCGTCGATTTTGTCCATATAAGCTGGTAAAAGACCCATACATAGACGGAAATCATCCTTACGCCATTGGATAAAATCAAACCGAAATCGTTGACATTGCCGAATCAAAGCATCGAATCGTCCATTTAATTGAAAAGCAAAGGGGCATTAACTATGTCTACTCCATTGATATATTTCTCGAAGATTTCGATTAAAATCTCGTTTGGAAGAGATTCTAACTTGGATATTGACATGACAAAATAATGAATGAATGCAAGCAAAAACACCACGTTATGCAATCAAGATAGTGGATGAAGATATTTCCATGGGGAGTCATTGTTTTTCTTTTTTCTTTCGTTTTTCAAGATAGTGTTGGTTTATTTGCTTTGTTGATCTGTATGCAAGGCATGTATCTCGTTGGGTGTTAATATGGGAATTTTTCTTCTTTTCATGTACGTCCAACCCTACACGGTCAAGTTACGACAAAAGTTTTAATTCTTGTTTTAATGTGAGACAAACTCGATAACAGACTAGTTTGATCGAGCTGCATTTAAAGCAGAGATGTCTATCGCGGCTGAAAATCTGCCACTGCTGCGACTGTATTTGATCAGAAATATTCATACTAGCCCGTCAGATTCGTTCAATCTTAGGATATTTCATTTGTAAACACTGAAATTCTATCAAATTCATACAGTTTTTCGAAAGAAAATACTACTGCTGCAGCACCACTACTGTCATCGCAGTAGTGGCAGCACGGCTATGGACATCTCTGATTTAAAGAACCTTATTCATAAATATTTATATGGAATTTGTCAGAAACATATCAGTGATAAATTTGGTTTTTAAACATCGATTTTCTTTATTCGAANCCGTTTATTCCCCCCCCATTTGTGTTTCGAATGCTGAAAACCGCAGGTTGATAGCTGCTTCCGTTCTCGAGATATTCAAAAAATACTCGCGTTCATCGTATTTTGGCGGCGACAGTAGTTTCATTATTTATTAGCAGTAAAGATAGGTGGATAGGCTCGACAGTCGTTGTTGAAAAAAGCCAAGTTTTCACTTTGAACTTGCTGCGCCGATGTATTCGATGCAAATAATTGACTGTTGCACTGCACACGACATGGCCAATCGCATAGCTTAGTGTCTTGATTCCACCATAGATCATATGGAACTTTGTTAGCACGAGGACAACGAAAATTGAATCTAGAGCCAGATATACACCGATGAAAGACATTGCAGTATCGACTGGATAAATATGCACCATCTTGCTGACCTTTGCAGGTGACGTTCGAGTCGACCACGAGCAAACCTTGAAATGAGATGAAGAGTATAGACGGATCGAATGTTTTTCTTTTATATAAGAAACAGAGGTCGTCGCAGAACAATATTTTTATTCTATCTGGTTCGATTTAACCAACTCTGTCGTTTTCTGCCGGGCAAAATGAGTGTTTCCTTTTCTGCGAGTTCAACTGAACGTCCATGAGAAAATTACTGTTATTTCCCTCTTATTCTTACATGAGATGACTCATTCATCTCAAGTAAAGCAGAAAATGTGTTTTGATTAGCAAAATAATTAAAAAAGAACAGAAAAGGAATAATTGTCTGCATTGCAATCGATGTCCCAGTGTCATAGTATTTGAGTGCTTTTTCAATGCGTTCTTCACATTTTGTTAGGGCTCATGCGAGCTTTCGGGATAGTATAATATGATATGGAATAGCTTGGATCAATCTCTCATATTGTATGGAACATTCGCGTTCATTTTGGATCGGTAGTAGCATGAATAGATCTCATAAAAGAACCATAGATTCTCATCATAGTGCTAATACATCGTACATTGACGAAATTATGTATCTTAATCTGGAGTCGAGAATAGCCAAATGAAGTCGAATTATTCTTCGTTGCTACGCTTCTACCGCCAGATTTGTCCCTAACTACACCTATCCGCATTGCCGTGACTGAGTATTTCTTTGGAATATAAAGAACAAAGCTTTTGCAAGTAGGAACGAATGCATATAATGTATTACTGACATCAAACTCTACATTTAGCTGAATTGGACTCAACAGCATGAGAGTGATACTGATCTGTGACTGATGGAGGAGTTTTTGAGATCTTAGAAATTCTCTACTTTTGTTGGTGAGTTTTATCTTTTCATATATGAAAGTTAATTATTATTAGTTTTGTAAAAATATCAACACACAGCATTTGTGCTCAAATATGATGGATGTGGAACCAATAAACATTGAGACAATCCTTTAATTTCTGTCTCCTTTAATTAACGTGATGATTAAAACACTCGGTTTTTGGTAATAAGAAAGATATCAAGCCCAAGTCAAATGCCAATTTGCGGCTATCAGTAAAACGTGTTCTTGCAAAACCATATCTGTGTAACATAAGAAAAATAATGCTTTCGAGATGTTACTTCAATTTCAGAAAGATCAACGAATCTCAAGAGATGCGAATGCCCCCAATCAGACGTAGAACAAATCGAATATGACTAATTCGTAGTTGACGATTCAAGATAAGATGACGAATTTTCTGATCAAACATAATAAAAATGATGTAAGAACATTTGTAAAGGCCATTGCTTACGTTACTCCCTTAGAAAGACGGCGTGTCATCACTAAGGCTATTTGGTCACGGTCACTGATGGTCAGGGCCATACTCAGAGCCAAAGAAATGACTTAGATAGACTAGTTAAACCGTATGGAAGGGTGCGGTTTATATACGATTGAAGCGTAGGAAACTTGCGACGTGCGAATAAGTTTGAATCAGTGCGGATGTTTGCTTGTTCATGTGGATCATTACAAGACACACCCACACAAGATCCACCTGCTGTAGTCAATAAGCCACAAAATTAGAGATTTACAATCACCAGTTAGATAAATAGAGCATCAACAATGCCAGAAAGAAGAAGAAAATGTGCTATTGTCATACTTCACCAAATTCAAGGGTGAAGAGGGTGAAAATAAGACATATAAGGAAGAGAATTCGTGATAAGAATGAAAAAGATAGGTAAGAGTTCTTTATGAATAATTATTTTTAGTACAATTTGATCTTTTGAATGCCTCTTGTATGAATACGTATATTGTCCTCTTACCATACGCACAAGCGTTGAGCTGCTTGTAAACATAACGCTTCTTCTGAAATCAGAAGCATTGTTGAAAACTGGTTGAAACTGAAATATTAGGAAACGAAAACATGTCATATCCGTGGTCATTTTGACGATCACTGTTTGCAAGTGCTACGCATGCGTTGTGAAATGAATTTCTTCTAAGATTGCTGTATGTTTATACCAAGTTGCAATTTGCCTTACTCTCCATGGAAAAGATAAGCATATGAGAACGAGATCTTTAACAATATTAGAACCCATACGTTATTAGAATGAACAGAAAATTGCAGAGTGATGCAGACCTGTTCACTGAGATATAGTCGCGACTACTGCAGTTTCCAATTTTTAATGATGCGACGGCAATTCATCTCTCTTCTAGTCTCTTAACCAAAATAGCTCTTAGTTAGATCTTGCTCAGTAAACCTTGAGTTTTCCGTTCACCATGGCAATGACACTTTACAACAGAGTCTTGTTTAGCCCAACGTAATAGTAACTCATTCATTAATCTGATGCGGTGGACTTATCTAGTGTCATGTTATAAATTAGTGTAACATCGAGCAGTAAGACAGTGCTTCAGTACATTCGAGTCATTGGGGTTGCACAGATGATCGAACACACAATTGCTGAAAGAGAACCTGATGACCTGAAGAATGTCCTGAGATGAGCTGTATGTCTATGTTTGATGCAGAAAAGGAAGGAGATATATTGCATAAGAGAAAGACTTCTTGTTCAGTACAGACTGCGATGTCGGGACTACTGTAATTATCGAGTATTGTCTAGCAAAAGGTAATCGGATGAAGTTTTCCTAAAAAACCAGTCTGCTATTCCAAATGTTGTTTACATTGGAAGATTTTTCGTTTAAAGAATTGTTGCGGATCTAACCATGAAAACGTCATTGATAACAAGACTAGTAGTTTGAAAGTTTCTCGAAAATGTCGGAAGTGATTGAAGGAGTTTTACCATTATGAAAGTTCACAAAATCAGCTTTACTTTCTCCAAAGCATTCGTCTAACTACTGTATGCAGAAATAAAAAGTCTGGATTTTGTGCACTCCATTCTCTAAGATCATCACTATAAGGAATCAACAAAAGAAAAGATCATCATAGAAAACACTACACTTTTCATTACTAGAAATAAACTTCGATTTGAGCCGATGCTGGGCCGTAGAAACAATACCTTGCAATTTTGCATGCTGCCTAGGCATAGTCATATATTATGTACTTGTTCTTCAAGCGAAATATTTTTCTCCATATAAGCTGCCCTTAAACACAAGATTAGCAACTTCTACCCCACCCTGTTCCGCAATAGGATTTAGCAAAAAGTTTTCTTTTCGTTTTATACTGTCATTGGACAGAACGAAGTGCTTCTTAAGCCTTATACTGGACACACAAATGCATCGGAAACGCTATAAGACAACGGTAGAACTTGTTACGTTACCGAATAGTGCGGAATCCGCCCTGTTGCTTTACAACAAGAAGAACTGTTACAATTGACAAAACAACATCATACACATTGGATGCTGCTCTACGTTCTCGCGTATCTATACTGTTCTCGTGATTATACAAAGATTTCCCGTTACTCAAAGAAAGCTTTACGAAGAAAAGAAAGTGTAATACATAAACTATTAAAAGGTTAAGAGAAAATATTTTATTCAATCTACCTTTTGCATCAGGTTGTCGCCGTGGAAAAATTGGTGCAGCTGTGATCGAAGTATAATATTGATTGGCTGGGCAGCCACTGGTATTTTGAGAGGCCGCTTCGCATCTATATGAAGATGACAAATTATTATTAGGTCTGTTATCGAATGAAACCAACAGACTCAAGGCACACGATATTGCCTATGCTACAGGATTATGTGTTTTGTGTAAGATATGAGTATCATTTACGCATCGCTAGTCATCAGTACTGCAAGCGCATTCCACTAAGGGTGTTCCGTCGTTTTTGATCATCTGATCTTCACAGCGAGGGATGGTCGATTGGGTTGAAAATTTTACCATACCCAGAGTATCAAAAATGATGAGACCCATGATCATGAAAGTTTTTCAATTGAAGGCTTTTAATGGGCTGGATATTACATCTTGAATATCTGAAACCATACCTCACAAGTATTTTTGTCCGCATTTATTTAATGTGTATAAGTCATACATTGTAGATTTTGGTCTATGAAAAACCAGTTTGTAAAAGGACAAAACGTGACTTTTTACAGCCAAAACTCTGTGACATTTGATTGATAAATTGTAAGCGAAAGTGTAGAAAGAGTGCTTGGGTATAGTTTCAGACGTCGTCGATAAAATTTTCAACCCAGGCGTCCATCACTCGCTGTGTAGAAATCCGAAGATGGGTAAAAAAAGGAGTACTTCTCAGTAAAAATTGCTAATAATATACAAATACTAAGAATTACATATAAATACGCATTTTCCCTAGAAGACGGATCTATCGTCTCGGTACCTAGCTACACAGTACGCATTCATTTTGTAAGGTATAGCTGATTTTGATTTAAATATAGCTCACTTGTACACAAATCCATGCGTTCAGCAGTATACATGGTTTCCCTTGCAATTGCCTGTCACTTTCTGAAAAATTGGGTGTCTTTTACTGATGGTAGGGGAGATAATCTCATTTCTTTCAAAAGATCACAGCTTACACTCGATATTGATCCATTTCCAAGAAAACAATAACTGAGATTTTCTGCATGACAGCCTCCCTTCATTTTTTCGACCAAAACTATGCATTGCTTCTGTTTTGGTTTTTTCGGGCTATTATGCAGCCTATAGAGCTCTCTATCTACTGAGTACATTTTGAGCATTAAAAATCCATGTTTCCATGCTGAACATAATCGCAAGAACAAATTTTGCGTGTACTCAAAACTATTCTTTTCACAAAAAAGTACCGATATGTCTACATTGCTTCCATATACTGGAATTGATCGAGCTTAAATTTTTTACAAGTACTAGAGAATTTTTGGAGTGTTTATATTCTTTTATTTCTTGTAATAATGCAGCGCTGATTGTTGGCAGATTTCATGAAACCTTGTTCCATAGAAAAAGGCGAGCATTTTAAAGGCAGTAGCCGTATTCTTTTCTCTTTCTGCACAATACGACTGGAAATGTGTGTTTAAGCATATAACAAGAGAAGTGAACCACCAACCCGCCACTCTACCTAGACATTATTGACAGATAGACAGCTGACACAGGCATCATAAACGTAACGGACGGGCAGAAAACGGTTTCATTCAGTATCACAAATGTCACAGGCAGACAGAAAACAGGCTTTTGGCACCCGTTCGTACTGCACAACAAAGACAATACGAATATGAAGCCAAAGTCAAATAGAATATAACTAACAAATGCGAAATGACTATTTACATGGGCGACTTCAGCATAGTAAAAGTTGGAGTAAAATGGCAGGTACATAGTAACTGCATATTCATCAAGGGTTTCATATGAGTAGAAAGAGTGAAACGTGTTTGATTCAATGTGTATCGTTTTCGCAAGAGTTCTATTCATTAAAATTCTTCTCCTTGACTATGAGCATGGTGAAATGCTAATGGATCCACCCTGACAAGCTTTTCATTTCAATATGTATCAGGCAATTTAATGTTTAAACTGTTAAATATTTGGAAAGATATTTATTTCTGTGAATATTAAAAATAAATGATTGAGATGAAACACAGGAGTATGTAAGAAGTAACTGGATATTTTGATTCTGCGTCGGAGAATGAAATTGGCAGCCATCGTTACTTAAAAGAATGACAGACATTTTACCACGGCTGTCAATGAAGTCTCCATCATCACCCAACAATTTGCCGAGACAGTAGAATCGCTTTCTCTCGTTTCACATTTTAATCCCGGAGAGTTTGCAGTGAAAACTGTTTTCAAGGAGATAATTTTCAAAATAAACAATTACACCCCCAATAATGACTAATACCTCTAAAAAGAATTTCATCCCGATCAGGCGTACCAGATCAAAGAAAGGACGGAAAAAGTGGGTTCATTTCTGATTCTTATGCCTCCTATATCTCCTAGAAGGAACTACTGTGCGCAGGTGAGTCCAGTATACATGGTGATCTACTACTTGAGATCTAACTGCCCCGACAGTTTCAAATATTTCAAGTGAGTAGCTCTACAACAGTGCCGAAACCAAAGGGGAGTCCTAATGAAGAATTTGAAACCAGTTGTCGTAGTTCAGGACTTACCTCTGAGTTGCCTCATCGAAGTAGAATCGTAAAACCATTTGAGGGCACCCATATGACCGCTTTTGTTCGCCGGCAACACACGCGTGAAAAACATCGCAGTATCTCGAGTCACGCCAAAAACCATCCGTACGACCTTTACATTCGAATGAAACATCCTTTACAACATGTTGATTTAGAGTCGGATTTAATAAAACGAACGATAAGGCTAGTGAAAAATTAAAGGGAAAAGAAAGATAGTTCTCTAGAGACAGACAGAGAAAGAAAATACTTACTGATGAAGAAGCTTTTTCCCATACCAGTGATCATCTTTTGCTTGTAAGAAGTGTAAAGTGAAGAAAGAAAAATGAGATCTGATATGATTGTTTTTATCTTCAGTGTTATCTAATTGCTGGATTTTTTTTTTCAATATTGAAAAATTGGTGTGACACCCGAAACATTTATATCTTCTCTCTCCGACATTTTTACTTCTTTTTTCTTGTCTCTCTGTATGTTGACGTAGAATCAACTGACTTTTTCTCGCTCGTCCTTCTCGAGTATCTCGACGATTGCCCGCCGTCAACTTTATTGAAGACTATTGCTCAATGTTAAAAACGACTAAAAAAGAGACAGAATAAGACAAAAGAGAAGGATTATTGTATTGTCACAAACAAAGAAAAAAGGATTATGGTAAAGGCTAAGGATTTCAGTTTTTGTTTGTCAAGAAAGCAAAAAAAAGTAATCGGTTTCTCTTTCATACTCCTTTGAAGTTTAATCGGAAAAATAATGCGATTAAAAGGAGAACTGTAGTTGTACTGTAATTGTCTTTAGCTTTAAATATTTTAGATTGAAAAAAGAATACCTCGTTCTCTCTGTTTAGAGCTAATGCATTGAGATGATCAAGAAAATATTGCACAGTGAGAAAGACAGAAGATGCAACAGAACCAAGAAAAAAAAAGATTGTTAGCGTAGCTCCTGCGGAGCTGAAATGTGGAACTCACGTATACCTTTAGCTTTGTTACCTGACGCATCATCTGTATACTGAAAGACTTCTCGTCAACTATAGTTGTTTTCCTTGAGAATCGATGAAAAGAGCGGGAATTTATTATTTATTTGTATATTAAAAAAATATATTAAAAA